GTTGGGCTGTGGGGTTGTCTATGCTAGACCTTATAGTGTCTGCATGCCTTTTACTGTTTAATTCACTTTGTTTTGTTTATGCTAATTTATTTTTTTTTGTTTATTTTGTTTTAATCGGTGGGGAGGGGGGGGGACACCTAGGTACATCCTTAAATAGCTCTCCTTCATTTGGAAAATTTAAAGACAGTTGTCTTTTGCCCTTTTTTTTTCCCTAAAAAGTGATTTCTTGTTATCCCTGTGATGAAAGCAAAACTGAACTGCTACACGGGACGCTGGGGCGCGGGTAGCCTGAAGTTCAACCGACGTCGACTCGAGGTGACGGCTGAACGGGAGATGATTTAACTGACGTAGAAAAATGTCCAAAGGGATGATGCACGAAGAGGGCTTACATGCAGCTTCCTCGTTGAAGAGTGCACTATGTCCCTGATGGGTCACCCTGGAGACGCAGTGCTAACCTGCGATAAGGGGTTTTTTCTTTTTCGTCTCCTAAACGAAAAGGGAAGAGGGACCGCCTGATCGCAGGTTAACTCAATGCAAGATGGAAAACAAAGTAAAAACCACCAGAACTTATACAATACAGTGTAACTACAATATTGTTATTATTTGCTTTACACGACAACTAGTGTAACATATATAAAGAAACAGACTGTATCATGTTACCGGCACCTGAAACACAGTTGTCTTCGGCTATGTTCATAATATTCCGGATAGTTTTTCCAGCCGCAGCTAAACTGAGCTATCCGATATGTGACTCTCCACCTAAGAGATCGGCACAGCGCAGCTTCGCTCCGTCATAGAAATCGCGTTAAAATCACCGTTCTTATGTGAGATCAGAAGCCCCAAGTTTCGGGCCGGCGCCAAAGCTATCCGGCATAGCGTGAACTAGCTTAATTAGTTAATATTAAAATACTATGGATATATGGAAATATTAATTACAATTACTTAGACAAAAGTATCGTTGGTCAAAGTTGCATTCAAAATTCCGAATGATTAGAATTGTTCTTTGCGATATGTGTGTTTCACTCCATGGACCTTTCCATGGACAGAGGGAGAGTAAAACTCAAACTAGTCAAAATTCCAAATTCCGTCTGAGAAGTCTGGACTACCTTTCAAGAAATATATTCGATTCGCGACCAGTAGCTTTTCCATTTTTCGTATTCTTTACGGTTACATTCATAGAAGTCAGCAGGAAAAGCCAGCTGAGATAAATTTAAAAAAAAGAACACAAAGCAAGGCAAGTGAAATTTGTCATTCGGATATACATATTTCAGTAAACAAGACTTGGAATTTGTTAGTAAAAAGAGAAAAACAACGCAGCAAAAAAGTATCGATATACTCGTATTTTTTTTCTTAAAAATTTATTCGGACTCTGTCCTTAATCCTGAGGAGACGCAGCTGAACCATACAACATCCGGGCATCCTTAAGCATCAATTTACTGCTTGGATATGGCACGTGACCAAAGTAGTGGAAATAAAGGCCAGTTGACAGTGAGGGGGGAGTAGATACTACAACAGACTGCCGCTTTCGCTGGTCTTTGCGCCATTTCACTCGTCTGTTTTTAAACCAGGTCTGTAAAGAAAAAAATTTCTTTCAGGACAAATCTGATAAGTGTCGTATAACAACGAACTACAGTCGAATCCTGCTTTACTGACACGGCCGCTGAGTACGGATCGGACATGCACCTTGTCATTATACGGACGAGTTTCTTTGTCCATGGGGAAAGCCTTTACACTTTCTCTAATTCAACTCGCTTAATACGCGGACACCTCAGTGGACAACGGACACCTTTTTCTTGCCCAATGAACAGATTCTCATATAAAGTCAACCTCAGCGCTAATGCAGACACTTTATTGTCCACTGTGTGTTGTAAAAAACTTTCTCTTTTGAAGGTAAAAAAATCTTCAGTTGACATATAATGTCGATGTTCCCAGCGCTATAGTACACCAAATGGAATGACTATTTTGACATCATAGGAGTTATGCAGATAACGGTTTTTGATTACGTAACGTACAATAAGCGATTTTGTCGAGACTTTTGAGTGTTTTCATGGAATAGTCCGCGGAGTAGCGGCTTGGTGAAGTTTAGAGATGTTTATTTGACGATGCTAGTGTTCATTCTTATTTTTGTAGTATTTTGATCTCAATAAAAGGTGTATTTTTTACTTTAATAACATTACCCGCTTAATATGAACACCCCGTTCATAAGGAAACTGTCTATGGCCCCTTCGGTGTCCGTATTAACGGGGTTGGATTTTTACCATGGGTAATAAAATTTGATTACCTAAGCATCCAAGAAATTTTGGTTGTGAAAAAATCGCCCGTCCGTACGTCCGCCCATACATATGTTAGAGGAGATAAAATGTCACACCACTAGCTTGGAGTCCAATAAGGCCTTACACACCACCTGTGTTTAACTTGACATTGGACATAAACATTATGATTAAAAGACAGCTGTCAAAATAGGGTACCTGCTGACCAGTGTCACATGATTGTATCATGGGCTCACGTGTATAACTCATTGTGACGAGTTTTTTTTAAATTTCTTAAAAGATTTTGGCCTGGCTAAATCTATATATTAGCTTAATCTACCTGAATTACTTCCTCAGTAATTCCCAGCTGTTGGGAGATTGACTCGCGTTTCTGAGGTGTGAGGTACTGAGACTCGCTAAATATCTTCTCCAACTCACGTCGCTGCAAAACAGTAAAATGAGTTCTTTTGTGGTGCCCTACTTTTGTTTGTTGATCTTGAGGCTGCACGGCTGTGAATAAAATGTGGTTTGCACTGAGAGTTAATTAGGCATTCTGTAATATCAAAATGAAAAATAGCTAACCCTAACCCTAACCTTAACCTTAACCCTAACCCTAACCAGGTCAGTCAAAACTGGTGATAAGCAGCTTATCACCAGTTTTGAATTAACAAGGTCTGTTTTACTTAATATGTGATATTTTTTGCAGGGGATCACCTCCTTTCAGCCGGTCATCACTGTTTTAAAGCGATTCTGAACTTTTCCTAAATTTCAGTTCAGGTAAAAAAAATTAAGGCGTGATATCTGACTAAGTTAGTCAGATATCACACCTTAATTTTTTTTACCTGGACTGAAATTTTTCTCTCCTAACCTATAAACATATTGTTAAGGAGTCCGCACCAGGCGATCTTGTAAGCCCAAAATTTTTCTGTCAAGTTACTGAACGGTTGAATTTGAACGGAAAACTTCAGAATTAAGTTTGCAGTGAGACGTTTCCAGAAATGAAGGCCGAAAAACGAATCAAATTGGCTCATTAAAACTTTAAAGAAAGATCGTTATATCAAGGAAAACAGAACTTGATTTGGGTATTCAGGGGTTTATTACTATTATCAATTAGTCAAGAAATTGTACTTATTATATTTTTCTCGGGCCGGTAGTTTGTGGCCAAAAAACTGGTATTTATTCTGCTCAACCCGACCGGTGAAAAAGAAAAAAATTTAGAGTCGCTCCTGTCTGACTTTGAAACCAGTTTCAGTGTAAAAAGCGCGTGGTAGGCGTGCCGGCTCTCTCGAAAGATTTGTATCCTGTAGCTAAAACGGCTGATTTTCGAGAAACATACTGATGGTTAAAAGTGGGCTATCATTTTGGAAATCAAGGTTTTATTCATAGAACACAAATCGATCGTCAGTGATGAAAGTTTTCCTGATCACGACGATGCTCAACCAACGAAAAAGGTTTTTCAGTTTGATTTACTCGTTTTTACTATTTTTTTTATCTTCCCACTTGCTTTATGCCTGAATGAAAAATGAACGTTCCGTGAGTGATTACTAATTTAATTAAGTAATATTCTATTAGAAATTACGAAGACTAATAAAGAATAGAAATAGGGCTACAATTTTCTGCTTTTAGTGGTGCGGGAATAATTTTTATGAAACTTTCCTCGATATTCGGCGATACTGCGCCAAGTTTTAAGGTGATTAACAACAAACCTGGGTTAACGCCATCGGAGAGGTTCATTGGCTGCTGTTCAGGACACGAAGTGACATTTTCAAGATGTGAAGCTGACAAGGGTCTGGAATATACATAAGTTGAACTGGTTGATGAAATAATATTCCTGCAGGAACTATTTGAACCAGTTGGAATGTAGTGAACGCTTGGAACGTACGGTACGAATGCCATTTGCTTCTGACAATCCAGAGTGGAAACTACTTTCTAAGTACAGTGGAAAGAATTTATACCCTTAGTTTTCGTTTCTATACGCAAGGAAAAACATACAGCGCGTCACAGAGTTTGTTTGTTCGTTGCATTTAACGTAAGAGAAGCAACTGAAATGATTCCACGCCCATCATCCAAAAACAGCATGGCGCTTTTATGGAGATCAACATGCGATTATCCTTTCTTGTTTGTTTTCTAGTTTTCATAGAAACATAGCTTGTTACGTAAATGAAAACGCCCATTGCATCGTGGATGACCCTGACCTATCTACTGACGCATATTAAGTATTTGTTATTATCTGTTTAGGCTGTAGTTGTGGTAATACATCCGATTTATATTGTTACTTCTCTCTGGGGAAGTATATCTTAAGAAGAATGTAGTGAAACTTGGCATTAAAAAGTTGAAATAATAAGCACCAAGAGATTTTGCAAATCGCTATCACAAAAATAGGCCAGTGAAAAGTCAAGTCCTGACGTATGTTCCAAAAATGTCTTCCTTGGGTGTTGTTCACTTCTATGGTTGTCATAGTAACATATCACACGGAGTTCGTCACACCGGTGAGTCGCTTCGTTATTCATCACAAAAAAATACTTATAGATGCTTTTATAATAGCCTTCAACATTTTTTTTACAAAAATCTGATACTATAATTTGAAACGTACACTACAAAAAATACAAATGAATATATGAAAAACATTGCTAAGTTGGACTTGTAAAGCAATAAATGTGTTCTTTTTCGGGCCGTGTTGAAGGAGTTTTGACCAAAAAACAGAGTATGAAACTGAAAAGCTTTCTGAATAGAAGGAAGGTAAAGAAACATCAGTTATTCTTGGAAAACTATATTTATCTTGCCGTTATCTGTATATCTTGTAGCTGTGGTAATGTGGCCAATTCATGCTTCCGGATATTTTTGGTAAGAGATTCTGGATTTCGATCAGAGATAAACGCAATAGCCAAGATAAATAGTAAGAAACCCGGCTAACTTAAGAAACTAAAAGAGTTTCTGGTAAACTGCGATCGCAGAGTCAGCAGAAAATAAAGCATATGAGACAAAAATAAATTTTCTGTTGTTATCTGTTTTTTGTGGTCGTCATGGTAGCACTAGTACAGTTGAACCTTTTCACAACGGCCTCCTAGGAGGACAGCAGAAAGTGGCCATTGTAGAGAGGTGGCCGTTGTATAAATGTGGCGGTTGTCATGAGGCAGCCGTTAGTGGAGGTTCGACTGTGAGAAGAAGGGAGAAGAAGCTGTTGCTGATTCAAGATTTTTCAGGACGCGATACATTTGCAAGAGTGCAAATATTGAGAAAATATGAAAGTTTTTGTCAGTTTTGTCGATTAATTTCTTCGTTTCTCATTTGTATAACTGTAGGAGCGGACAAAGTCTGCAACTTGCAAACGTTAGACTTACTGCTTCGAGCTTTGCTTTGTTGAATTCGTCACGGTGACTCAACTCGGTGACAGGGGATGAAACAGGACTAACGTCCCAATTGATATCAGCCCCATCATTACCCACCCAGCCCATGAAAGGTTGTACCACACCACCGGGGTCTACGCCCCCTACTCTTTACACACAGCAGGGTGGGTTCTGTTAAGTTCCACAAGAATCAGAACAAAGAAAGAGCTGTGAGACGGGGCCTATGGTTTTTCGTTCTTATCCGAGAAGACTAGAATGTCTAACCATTTGTAAATGTCACAGCAAAGACAGCACCTTATTCTGAAGACCCTGGGTGTTGCTCCGGCTGGGGTTCGAATACGCGACCTCTCGCTCGGCAGACCGGCGCTTAACCAATTGAGCTAACCGGGCAGCGGTTGTCTTAGGAAAAATAATTTTAACAAACGTTCGAAAAAATATTTGACGATGGAGTTGGTTAGAAAAAGGGTACATTATTTAGATTGAATTTCTTCCGCCAAAAACTGTTTGGTCGATTTGACATTGGGCACCCATACCGCCGGAAGTTATTCCGGTTCCTATGACATGAATTACTTAGCTGCATTACCAATCCCTCGCCCTTTGATGGGATCTAACAATCGAAGAATTACCATTTTATTAGGTTCCTGTTTCATAAAGCAACCATGGATACTGAATGCTAGTCCATCATATGGTATCTCTCGTATTATGTAAGGTTTCTGAAAACCGGAATACCCGAGGAAACCTCTCGGAGCAAAGAAGAAAGCCCATAACAAATGCCATCTGCATATGGCGTCGAAGCCAGGACTTGGACCTAGGCCGCTTCGATGTGCGGCGATTGCTCTAACAACTATTCAGCCATTGCTACCCCTAACGTTTCCCTGAAATTTGTTCATCTGCAAAGCCAGGCAAATTCAGCCTGAGGGCATTTATAGAAGTCAAACACTAAAGGAAGCTCGTTTAATCCGGTTCTATCCCATGAACGGAGTTCCAGGTTACTTCATAAAGAAGAGTAAAGAAGGACCTCAATAGTCTAGGGATCATATTAAGGAGCCGGTATATGCAGCTTTTTGTTGCACAAAGAGCTATTTCAAAATTGCCACGTGGGTTCGGACAACGCCGGTATATGAAGCTTTTTGTTGCACAAAGAGCTATTTCAAAATTGCCGCGTGGGTTCGGACAACGATGTTAGCGTGTGTTTACACTTCCCACTGGATACTTCAGATCATAACACTGTTTGGTTAAGGTAGAGGGCTACAGTCCTGCCAAAGGGCAAAACGGCTACAGGGAATAGGTGATGATGCAGATCATACAGTTACTGGTAATGTTGTTTAAAGGCAAGTTACTGGAACGTTCTGTTGCAGGAGCTATTAGTACGTACTGAAACAGTTATTTACTCCGATTTGGTTGCTGTTCCTTTTAAAATGTATGGAAAGTGCGGTGGAGCAAATAGGACCCGAAGAAGTAGCGGATATTTGACGGTAGTTAACCAAAGATGTCATCGTTCAACTTGATAGCGCTGTAGATACGTTGTTCTGAAAGGAGAGTCCTTGCTTAGGATGATGAATGAGGGTGTTCGTTCCCTCACCAGGAACCTGGACACAGAAAAAAGTAAAATAAAACATTTTTGCCACAAGATAGTACTTTTAGGTTTTTCTTTACGGAATTAAGAAAAGTTGTCGATTTATACATATATATGACATGTTTCACACCTTACAGGCACAACTATACAGAGCGTTTTTACAATGAAATTGCGTCCACGTTGGTCTTCCAAACCAATCCTGTGGGAGTTGAACTCTTTCCTTTGTAAACGCTTTCTTTTGCTCCAAAAAATCTGCATAGATGCTGGCCACGTGATTGAAAACGCTGTATAGCTATCGAATCACCTTCGTGTAGCATTTGTAAATTACAGGAAACACATGTAACTGTGGAGCATCTCAGTCAACAAATCAGTTGTTATTAGAGGTTGGATTGTAAACAGAACATGCAAGAGACCTCTATATATAATTTTTATTTAAAGTAAAAACTACTTTATCCAAGATACCTTGAGTCCGAGAGAACATCTTTAAGACATTTATTATTCTTCACCAAACACAGCTTTTCACTAGAAGCGTCTTCGAAATAAACTTCCAGACTTTCTGGCTTGTATTTCTTTTCTACATCCCAAGGAGGAGATTCAACTTCAAACATGGTATGTAAGTGGTCTGAGATCCTAAATGCAACAGTAAAAGAAATTTCTCAGACTGGCAGGACAAAACAAAGAAATCACCACTTAGATTAAGGTTTGGAAAAGTGAGCCTAATGACCAGAAATATTATTCCAACTTCGGCCTTAAATTAAGACGAGATATAGTACACTGCAAAGAATCGTTCATCTGATATCTTGTCACCCCGAAATAGGTGTAAAGAACTGGTTACGCATCGCTCTCTTCCAGTTTTTTTAATATAAGATAAAAACTCCTTCTCGTTCTCCTTCTTCCTGATATATGACGCCTCCTTATTTGGTATCAAATAAAACACACCATCTCGTGTTTCATACATGACCTTTCGGTCTTTGCATGTCCCATGAAACACTTTTTCTCGTGTTTGATATGTTACTTCTCGGCGTTTGGATTTCAGATAAAACACTCCTCGTGACTGATACATATATATATATTGTCGATGTTTGGATATCAGATGAAAGACTCCTTCTCATGTTTTGATATATCACCTCTCGTTGTTTGGATATCGTATGAAACAGTTTTCCTCGTCTTTGATGTATTACCTCCCTTATCTTCTCTTGTCATTGAAGAAATAAAAAATCATAGTCTACTTTCACTTAAACTGTTACAGATATGAACAACAGCTGTTCAGCAAGATTGCAATTTTCTGTTTTGAGCTAAGAAAATTAAGCTTGGCTTTTCTAACGACTTAACGACAAGTTACCTGTCGTTCTCGTTAAATGAAGATATTAAGTCTGTTTGATTAAATTCCGGGTAAACAAACAACACAGGCCAGTGAAGAACTCCGTCCGTATCCAGATGAACCTTAACATCCAAACCACCATCAGATATAGACCTGGTAAGATCGTCCTGGTGTTCCAGATGGACTCCTCGATCCTAAGAAAACCAAAAAAAAAACTTATACCGTGTTTACTCGATTAAACGCTGGTTGGGGAACTTTTCGCCAGACTGTATATGGTGCAGTTTATAAGTAATGAAGTAATGACTGAGTAAAGATGCCCCCTGATGTAAATCGCAGTCTGAGGCGAGGCATGAAGTCGGACATGCTTTTAGGCGCCCCTTACATGCTAACTTAAAATCCCGTTTATTTTTGTATTAAGTGTTTAAAGGCTCTTGTCTTGTCCTACCTAGATTAGCTTAATAGTTATTTCCGGAACATCCAATATTGTAAACCTTTATCTTTTTGTTAATGAATAAATTTCTGTTGTTGTTGTTGTTGTCGTTGTTAATACGATAAGAAAGTGGAAAAAAGTACCAAAAATGTCCCCTTCCCTTTACAAACAGTGTATGGGTTCTTTAATGTCCCACAGATTTTATAAGCGCAAGGCTTGTGAGACGGTGCCTGCGGTTTTATTGCGCTTATCCGAGAAGACTAGAAAGTCTAACCGCTTGTTGTAGATGTCATTACAAAGGCAGCACTTTCTCCTCAGTTATTTAAAGACCCTGGGTGTTGGTCAGGCTGGGGTTTGAATCGGCAGCCTCCCACTTAGCAGACCGACACTTATCTGACTGAGCTGTAACCAGGCAACGGTTGCTACTGATATAGCTTGCAATTGGCAATGCATTAATTTGTACCTTGACTGCTGATAACAATGCCTCGACTTTAGACTTCTCTTTCTTTTCTTTCATCATTGCTTTTCGTTGATCTCTTTGGACCCTCTTCTGCTCAGTAACTGATTTGTTTCGTAAATCTAAAAGCTTTTTGTTTTCAGGTTCAATCTGTTTTCAGTTAAAGAAACATCTAGTGATGGTAAAAAACTTAGGTTATTCCTAAAATAACCTGATTTCTGTTAATACACTCTTATTATGAAAGTAACAGGTACATCTCACAAGGCAAGCTACAGAAGAACTTACCTGGGAGATGTATACATGTGTACATAGAGATTGGCAAGTGAAACTGTGGGGAGAGGGGGAGGGATGAAGTTTGCTAAAGGCATGGTTAACATACTTTGGCTTATTAGGCCCAATGCCTTTTTATAGAAGTAAGTGAGATTCCAAAATACTGTGCCAACGAAAGTAGAAACAAGAACTGCAAGAAAGGTATGAAGCCACAAAGGTATTGAACCAAGGTGGGTGGGGTTGTATTTATGTCTACAGAGGGGGAGGGTGTAACAGTGTAGTACTCCAAGGGCATCACCAACAGCAATTTAGCTTCAGAGACCCACCTCTCCCTGTAATGAATTTGCACT